ACTTGGTCATGAACTTGGGGATCTGCAGGCTGTGGCTCAACATGGCCTCTGCGGAAGACCTTTGTAAAGGAGCCCAGGCGAGGTGCTGTCCTTGGGGCCTGGCCCTCCTGTCCCCATATAGCCCATCTGCCCTGGATGGTGGGACAGCCGAGAAGCCCAGAGACCCCTGCCTGAGCCCCAGGCATATAGCAGCCCCTCCCACCGCCCAGGGGGCCCTCAGCCTAGAGAACTGGAAGTTCTCAATGTCTCCTCCTCAATATCAGGAGCTGCCTGCCTGCCACCCCCTTTCCCCAGACCCTAGGAGGACTGCTGAGATTGCAGGGATGCGGGCAAAGGGCGGGCCCAGCGGCCATATCTGCACACTGGCTCTGGGCTCCAAGTCGGGAGGGCATGGAAGCCGCAGAGGGCACCGGTCGGAGGCCAGGCCCAACTGACCGCCAGGGGAGCGCCTACAGCTCCTGGGCCCCTGAGGAGAGGGGAAGCAGACATAGCAACTCCCCAGGGCTGGTGGGCATCCTGCGGGCTCCTTCTGACCCTGCCCCAGCAAAGCCACCCAAGAGGGAGACAGCAGGACAGCACAGTCTGGCCTGGGTAGGGAGGCTGGCGGGGGGGAGCGGGCTGAGGCAGAAGCACAAATAGGTCACGCCAGGCGAGCGCTCTGGGCGGGGGACCGTGCCTCTCAGCTCTGGCAGCCCCACCTGGGGCCCACGCCCAAGCCCCTCACTTCCTCCGCTGCCCACACCCCACCCCAGGGCTCCAGGACTCCATCCCCCAAATCAAGGGGACCCCCATTTCTCACTTGGAGGCTCTGCCTGCCGTCTGCCCAGTGCCCCCGCCCACCATTCGACAAGCTGCACCTGGACAGCGCCTGACACCCCTGTTTCTCCTGAGGTTGGGATGGTGTCAGGAGCTGGGGGACAGGAAGATGCCAGAAAATGAACCCCTTTCCCAGGGCTGTGGGCTCAGGCGGTGAGTGGGAGCTCAAGGAAGAAGGGGGAGGCTCACTGCAAGCAAGGTCAGTCAAAGGCCAGCGACTCAGGCCGGGGACTAAGGAGGGGGCCCCTCACAGTCAGTCATGGCTGGGCAGCCAGGGCCCTGTGTGTCTTGGCGGAGCGGGACCCCTGGGCGGCCAGGTATGTAACAATTCCAGCCATTTCCTGTCCTATTAATGAGAAAGGGGCTGATATAAATATACGCTCAGCATAAATAAATACAGGCCAGGCCCGGGGCTGCATAGCAGACAGATTGCGTGGAGCTTCTGGCCAGCCCTTCAGCCAGCTCCCCCGACCCTGCCCACAGTGCAGCCCCCCCCCGCACCGCCCCCCACTTGTTTTCCTCCGGCGGACCAGGGCCCCTCCACACACACAGGCCCGAGGCAGATGGACGAGCGCCCTTGCCCTAGGCCTCAGGAATGGGGTTCCCGTGGCCCCTGGGAAGGCGGCAGGCCCGAGAGAGGGAGCTGGGGTTCCCGGGCCCTCCTGCCTCACGCACAGACCCGATGACAGTCCTGTGAGGCCTGAGGTGCTATGCTCCCCAGGTCTGCTCATAGGTGGGGAAACTGAGGCTCACAAGGTTAAGGGACTTGCCTAAGGTCACACAACTGGGAGGTTGCGGATCCGGGATTCAAACCCGAGGCTTTCTCACCCCAAGGCCCGTGAGCTGCCCGCTGTGTGTGAGGGGCAACCAGGGGCAGCTTCGTGCCCTCCTGCCTTCCTCCCAAGCCCCCACCCCTGGATGCCAGGGCCCTCAGAAGGCCCTGGAGGACTTCCGGTAAGGCCTGGAAGTGTAGCTCCACGGAGCCGGACCTCAGCTCGGGTAGGATGCACCTGCAGCCCCAGCCCCACCCCACCCCACGCCTGCCCCAGACCACCTCCCAGCTGGAGCATCCAGGTCACTGAGGTCCCTCGAGTGCTGACTGTCCCATCAGGGATAATCTGGTCACCCCACACTGCACAGACATGGAAGCTGAGGCCCAGAGGCAGAGCTTCAGCTAAGGTCACAGCGAGAAGCAGGCCAGAGCCAGGGAACCAAGCGTCTGCCACCAGGCCTTCTCCTCAGGCCCTCGGCGTCCCTCTCGCAAGCCTCCCCCTGCTCAGTGCCACCCCAGCTCCCCGGCCTGGATGCTTCCCAGGGTGGACTCAGGTGTCAGCCTGTGTTCTGGAAGCCAGCCGGGGGCCCTTCGCTTGGCACAGGCCAGCCACAGCAACTAGGAAAAGCCAGGTCCAGGGAGGTTCAGAGCCTGACAACGTTCATACAGCACGGGGCAGATCTGGGGCGGGCACCCAGGGGCTGTGGTGCATTCATCTCTTGTAAACTCAGTTCAAATGCCCCCTCCTTCAGGAAGCCTTCCCAGCCACCCGGGCCCAAAGGATGGGCTCCCAGTCTGCCCTCAGGCCTACTCTGCCTCCCAGGCCTGGAGGTATTCTCTCCCCAGTGTGTCGTGTGAGTGGGCACTTAGCCCAGGCAGCCACACTGGAGTGCCCCCACCTCCTGCCGCGCAGAGTCCCAGTGTGGAAAGTGGAGGCCAGGCCTTTTCCAGCTGTGGCCTCATTCCCACCAGCAGCCAAGGATTTGGGAGCCAGCTGGATGAGGGGGCAAGTTGAGCAGGTGGGCATGCCCGGGACAGCATCATCCTGAGTCCCAGCTGGTCTCCTGGCCCCAGCCCACACCTCAGGTCCAAGGCCACGCCAGGCTCTCGGCCTCTGCAACCACAGCCCCTCCCCCAGCCCTGGTCCCCCCGGCCCCAGAGGTCTCGGCCCCAGACCGCTGGGGATGTGGCAGGATGGGTGGGAGCGTGGCAGGTGGAGGGTCACAGAGGAGCTCCCCAGGGCCCGGGCCACCGCCCACCTGCGCCCCTCCCTGCCCGCATGCGGTTCCTCTGGGGCCCACCCCCTCCGGTGCTTTGGAGCTCCCAAGGGGAAAGAGCAGAACTGGAAGCTGACCTCAATGCAGCCATTCAAAAGGACAAGACATCCATGTGGACTGACTTGGAAATGGGTGGGTGGCATGTCGTCAAAGGCAAAAAAGCCTCTCGCCTAATGATGTGCGTAGTAGGATTGGTCTCCGTCAGAGACGGATCTGCAGGTGTAACGTGGGAACATGCCTGCAGGCTTGCATACAACGCATCATGGCTGGAAAGATACACAGCACACAGATGACCCCGTTTCTCTCAAGTTTCGAACCAGAGAGGAAGGAAACCTTTTTATCTTAATATGTCCATATTGTGGGTAATGTTTTAAAAAGTTAGTAGAAGGAAAAATACTAGTATCACATACACAGTCTTGCCCCTAGCCCCACTGGCCAGGGCTGTGCCAGCCTCCAGCTCATCCTCCAGCTCCATCCTGGCTCCCATCATTTCCCCCTTCCCTGCCCCCCACCAATGCAGGCCATCACCCTTCCTGTCCCCCTCTGGCCGTTGAGGCCCCTCTCCACCTGCACCCTCCCTCCCTCCCAGCACCCCAGGCCCCGCAGGCCACAGTCCTGTCAAGCACCAGCTTGGGCCCATGCAGCTCAGGGCCCATGCAGCTCCATATGCCTGCCCTGGGGCCTCCTTCCCACTCCCCCCAGTCCCCAACCTCAGCAATGGGCCAAGTCCACACACCTCAGCACACAGCTTTCCCTACAAGTTGTGTGCGTGTTCTGGAATCCCAGTCATGTTTACTCCAGCACCTTCCCAGCAGATGTTCTGCCTCGTGGGCCAGATGGGAGCCCTTCAGATGTCTCCCCCAGGGGCAGGCCAGGTCTGCTTGTCAGACTCAGAGAAAGAGCCCAGAAGTTCACCCCACACCTACCCTGGGCCATCTGCAGGTCCATATGGGAGGCAGGGCAGGAATCTGGCCCTAATTTCCCCAGGAACCAGAATACAGAAGGTGAACACAGGGCAGAACTCTCTGGAACATCTCCCCATACTCACACACCCTCGGGCTTGGGAGTGAATGGAAGGTGATTGCTAACTCCCACGAAACCATCCCTCCCCATCCTCTCACGGAATCACTGGCCTCAGGGGCAGGGGGAGTCTGCCCCACAGCCACCTGAGCTTGCTTAGCTCCCTCAGCTGAGATTTGGGATGTTTCCCTCTCCCTGGAGGAGATGGATAGATGGATGGATCTATGGATGGATTTGTAATCGAGGTGAGTGGATGGTAAGTGGGTGGGTAAACAGGTTGAGGAATGAATGGATGGGTGGGTGGATGGAGGGAAGGATGGATGGATGGATGGATGGATGGATGGATGGATGGATGGGCAGATGGATGGAGGGATGGATGGAAGGATGGATGGATGGATGGACAGATGGATGGGCAGATGGATGGATGGATGGACGGAGGGATGGATGGATGGATGGACAGATGAATGGGCAGATGGATGGGCAGATGGATGGATGGATGGATGGATGGATGGATGGATGAATGGATGGACGGACAGGCAGATGGGTGGATGGATGGGCAGATGGATGGATGGATGGACAGGCAGATGGATGGATGGATGGGCAGCTGAGTAGTAAAATGAGGGGCTAAGGGTGTAAATGAATGGATGGGCTAGTTGCGGACTAGCTCAGGAGTCACTACTTCTCCAAGGAACTTTCTAAATTTCTGCAATGTGACGCCTTAGCACCCCCCAGAGGCCAGAGTCTCTAACGACTCATCTCCCTTAAAGCCCTGGGCATAGACAGTCCTGAGAATCAGGGGCACAGACCTAGCAAAAGTGAGGTCTGTGCCCTAGTGCTGGCTCTTCCCCTGACTCACTCTGGGCACCTTGGGAATGTTCAACCTTCTGAGGCTCAATTTTCTCATCTGGAAAATGGAGCTAATCAAACCTGAAACCTATAATGCTATGAGATTTAAACAAAGTTACGTACATCAAGTGTCGGAGAGGGTTATCTGGCACAGATCCAGGGCCCACGGAATATGATTTCCTTCCCAGAGGCAGCCTTAGGACATGCATGCGCGCGCACACACACACGCACACACGCACACCGGTAGGGAAGAGGGACACAGAGCGAGACCCCAGGCCACACCAGATCCAGAAAGGCAAATGGGGACACACTTATTCTGCAGGGGTCCCGTGCTCCGGCAGGGCTGGCCCAGCCTTGGGGCCCGGGGGCTTGGGGAGCGGGGACGTGGACGAGGGTCCTGAGCCCTGCAGGGGCTCAACTTCCTGGGCCTGGGCCAGCTGGGCTGTGTGCTCAAAGGCGGCTTGCAGCAGGTGGGAGGCAAGGCAAGTGGTCCAGGTGATGAGATAGGCCAGGTGCCAGGTGAGCGCTGTTGTGGTCTCCACCCACCAGTACAGACGCCTCAGCAGGGCCCGGAGCTCCGGCACCACACGGTTGTCCAGCAGCGCCTGGAGGGGATGAGCCGATGGGCAGATGGCCGGGCCCAGGGCCCCCAGGCCTGCCCCCACGCAGCCCAGCCCGCGCCCGGCCCACCCACCTTGCTGAGCAGCCCAGCCAGGCTGCAGCGACGGGCCCTCCGGCACAGCCTCCAGGTCAGCAGCAACAGCAGCAAGCCCGCCAGCATCAGGCTGTGCAGGCAGGACAGAAGCAGCTCCGTGCCGGTGGCCGCAGACAGGCCCAAGGCCGGGGCCCAGCGCCGCACGCCCACCCACACCAGCCGGGGCGCCCGCAGCCCCAGCCACACGGGGACGCCTAGCAGTCCCCGTCCCGCCCGCAGCGCCCGGCCCAGGGGGCTGGCGGCAAGCCCGGGGGCTGGATGGGCCTGGCGGCCGCGGGACCCACAAGCCTCCTGAGCCAGCCCCGACAGCCAGTGGTTGAAGAGGAGAATCTTGAGGAGCAGCAGATTGTAGAGGTGGACCCGGTTCTGGACCAGCTGCAGGAGGGAGGGAGAGCCAACCCGTTGTCACTCACGTGGGGGAGGAGCCGCACCTGCCACCGCGGGCCGGGCCTCCTTCTCTCCAGGCCTCAATTGCCCCAACAAGAATGATCTTTATCTGCCCACTTCTAAGGGCTCCTTTCTCAGGAGGGGGCTTTAGAAAGTATTTCGTATTATCCTTGGTTTTCTTTCCTTTGGATTGAAGTGAGTATTTATAATACTCTAGACAGAAGGAAGTAGGTTTATTATTATTATTATAGAAGGAGTGACCATCCATCCCCCTCAGCCCTCTGATCCTGCAGGATTTGAACCCCGGGCAGGTTTTGTCTCCCAAACACCTGGGCTCTCCTGCCCACCCGTTGCCTGTTGGTGTCATGAGGGCGCCTGGGGGCAAAGGGCAGTGCCGTTAGGGGTAGAGAGATGGGAGGCATGGGGGCAGTGACCGAGGGACTGAGGGACCTACGGAGAGAGAGGGACCCAAGAAGATCTCCGGGCTTCTGTCCTGGGTGACAGGGTGGATATGATGTCTCCCATCCACGGGGAGAAAAGAGTGAGCTTGAGTGGGGAAAGAGTCTGTAAACGGTAAACTCCACCTGAGTCCTGGGGCTGAACAGCCCCTCTTCAGAGCTCAAAAGCCCCCTATCTGGATCCCACGCACCCTTGTCCAGAGGACCACCTGGAGCGCTAGGGGGCAGTGTGGGATACAGCCACCTGGGGTTGGCTGTGCACCCCACCAGGGCCACCGTGGCTTGGGGGTGGGGCTTCTGAGGCAGGCAGTCACCTAGTGCCATGGGTTGGGACAGGTCCATGCGGTCCAACAGCTCCGAGGTGGCTGTGAAGGGCTGGGAGGACCCCACCCCAGTGCCCCCTGCACCCCACTCACCAGCACTGAGAGCTTCACCACCAGCAGCAGAATCCCCAAGAGGCTGGATCTGACCAGAGGGACGGCCTCCATGTCTGGCCCTTCTCCTCTTCCTCCAGCTGGGAGAGGGAGGGTGACCTCACAGATACTGCGGGTGGGGGCCAAGTTACCATGGGGACCCAGTTGCCGCAAGAGACCCCCTCTTACCTGCCTCCCGCCCCTGCCCTACACAAAAACTAGGGTATTTGTCTTCTCCGTCCTGTCCCCTTCCTGGTTGGAGACTGCCCCGGACTCCACGTCTGGCCTGCCCACAGGGACGCCGGAGAAGGTCCTCAGATGGACGGGCGTGGGGCCTGCGTGATTCCCGGCAATCTGTCAGGCCCTTCCCCAAACCGTGGCTGAGGGTGGCTGGGTACTACACCTGCCCACATCCGTGAAAATCCCAAAGTATCAAAGGCCCAGGAAATAGAAATCTTGACCCCCAGGGCCACGGGTGACACAGTATTTGGAAACAGATGGGAGCCTCAGCTGCCCAAACCTGCAGGCTCCCCGCCGAAACACACACACCCCACCCCCAGTCACAAAGCAGAGAAATGAAGTTGTGACTTTTCCTCTCAGATCTTAATGATGCCTGAGAGCCGTGAGAGGAGAGCAGGGGAGAAAAAGTGTGCTGACCCAAAGGCCCCAGAGAGTTCTGGAGAGAGGCAAGGACTGAAGGAAAGGGGACAATTTGCTGAGCTAGCCCACTCCAGGAGGCCATCGGCCGCCTGGAGCATCTCACGAAGCTTGCCGGACGCTGGGATTAGGGTCAGAGGCTTAGAATTTTCTGGGAGAATCCAGAACCTTGATCACAGGATTTCTCACTTTGCTCTCCCGTCTGGGTCCGGGTAGGGGGCCCCAGGAGGCTGCAGGAGGGGGCGGTCACGCCTTTTAGAAAGTTTTAAAAGCACGCCCTCTGCAGGACAGGCTCCTGTAGTGCAGGGCCGGGTGACTGGAGGGCCCCCCTGTGCACATCAGGAAGGGCGGGTGCCACCCCAGCCCTTGCACACAGCGTGATTTCAGTCCTCACTTGCCACCTCGGCCGGGCACCCTTGTGCAGGATACAGCCTGCCCAACTGGACATGGAAGCCTGCCATAATGAGTCCCTGGAATGTCAAGGATGGCCTCTGCCCAGGGCAGTCCTGTTCACCCATTCGTTTCCTCTCCTGGGGCAACAGCTGGGGTCTGGGGGGTGAAGTGTGCAAAGTCCCTCCACTCAGTCCTCTGCCTTGCCCCTCCCCCACCCGCCCTGTGTGCCTGCAACATTACGGCACTAAGGGGTCACCTTGAGCTAAGTTTTGAAGGGGGGCCACGGGGGCCGTGGAATATTCTCTTACACAGTGAGAGCCATGCAAGAGCTGAGACAGCAAGGAGATTGCTGTGGGCTCTAGGACAGTCCCTTCCGCTCGTGAGGAGGTGAGACTAGCGAGAAGGGGTCTGGGGCAGGGGCTGGGGGGCGGCATCAGCTAGGAATCCACAACATATACGGGGAAAGGTTCAAGATGGTACCCTACTTGCAGGCCAACCAGCCAGCCTGCCCAAGTTCCTTGGCTGCTGGCAGAAGCACGAGGTTCCTGGGTCAGAGAGGAAGGACCATCTACTGCTCACAGCACTAGCTGCTAAGGGTTTAGCATTGGTTCCTTGAGTCCCAAATCCCACAGAGTGACATGGACGGGGCCATAGGACACCCGTCCGCCCAGTGGGTATATTACGAGAGAGTAAGCCTGGGCTCACAGAACCCGAATCTTTTGTAATGGGCGGTAAGCAAGGCTGCCTTTTGCTCCTGAGTGAGACATTATCTTTTTTTTTTTTTTAAAGATTTTATTTATTTATTTGAGAGAGAGGATGAGAGGAGAGAGAGAGCACATGAGAGGGGGGACGGTCAGAGGGAGAAGCAGCCTCCCTGCTGAGCAGGGAGCCCGATGCGGGACTCGATCC